ATATCCTTGCATTAATATTTTAATTTAAAATTGGCAAAATTATAAATTTCCTAATTTATCTATTGATTTGTGGTTAATATTGGTTCTCACAGTTACCACAAACTAATTAGTTCTCATTTGATTAAGCCCCTATATATATATATATATTTATTTATTTATATATGAATATATAAATACCCATAGAAATGAAATGAAGGTTTGTTTGGTGGAAATCCTTTGAAACAATTTCATTCTGCCTCCACTCCACTATCCCTTCATTCTTATCTTCTTGCTATCCTTTAACAAATACTCTTTACTTGTCTACATAAATTAGCTTTGCTTTTTTTTTTTCTTTCTTCTTCTTAAACCAATTAATTATTGTCCTTTTAACCAACTCCATACATAAATTACGACTTTAGTCCTTATATTTTGGAAATTATTGTTTTCGTATAATTATTATTGTTTTCTTAGCTTCGTCATTGGTTTACCATTAACTCCATAACAACAATAATATCACAAGGATGAAAACTTCTAAAGCATAATCATAAAAATAATATTTTTTAACAAACCATAATTCTAGTTTATTCTTATTTGTATTATTTCATTACTATATGAATGAATAAAATGCACTTGTAGCTTGTTTATTAAGCACTAATAAAAAAACATGTTTACCCAATAATCTTGATTTAAAGACTAAAAGTCTTATCCAGTCCACGAAACCGTTTTTCGATGATCATTCATAAACGGTTTATTAAGAACGGAAAGTGATTGGGCCACTTTAATTACATTATATTCCAATTGTTATGTATAAAATGAATCAAAACATTGAAAATCAAACAAAAGAAATTATAGGGAAATAAGTAATGAGACGTGGATGAGCATAAAATCATAATAAAACAAATTAATTTATTGTTTAAAAAAAAAGAAAAAAAAAAAAAAGGAAGGTAGAGTTGGTTAAGAATCCATAATATGTCGGCCACCAATCAACACACATCTCCTTCAATCATTTGTAGGGTCTAATTGCTTGCTTATGTATTTTTTAACTTAGTGTCCAAAAATACAAATTACTAATTAATAGATTAAATTTAAAAAAATAAAACAATGGTTAAAATTGAGTTTAGGCCACTCACAATCATAAAACTAAAGTTATCGACCACTTACTTTTTTGTCCCTTTGTTTTTTCTTCATTGCCGCCTTCTTACATCCATCCATGTAGTTTTTAAAAGAAACCATTTTTTCTTTTTTTAAATAATTAAGATACTCAATTGTTTTTTTTTTTTTTTTTTATAAATTCATTAAAAGTTTTTCATTTTAAATTATTAAACTTTTTTCTACTTTTACATTTTTAAAGTTGTTTTACCTACATTCTATTAATCCAAAAAAATTATATATAACCGACTAACAAAAGTTTGATGGATTGTTTACTAAAAAAAATGTTTTAAAGATTTTAATCATTTAAAATGAGAAATTTTTATAGTTTTTTTTATTAAAAAAATATTTCAAAAATTTAATTATTCAAAATAAAAAAGTTCAATGGTTCTTCATTTACAAAAAATTTAAGGACTAAACCATTTAATAAGGTAAAGTTGGCTGGATTTTTGGGTATATGTAAATGATATGTTATTTTATTATAATGAAATTGAGAACCGATCTAACTAAACCAACATCATAAACTATAGAAATGTATTTTTTTTTTAAATTAATCTAAAATTGTATAAAAATCAACAACATGACTAAAAATGGCTTCCTACTAAACCATACACGACTTCAATTTAAAACAATTGGTTATTAAATTAAGGATCCACAAAGATATGACACCTGATCCTTTATTCCATGAATTGAGTGGTTGATAATAATATAAGATTGTTTCGGGGAGGTGAAGGTGGTTGGATTACGCACCCTTTGACTATCATATTATATATATATATATATCGATTTTTTGTAGGTGAAGGTTTAAACAAGAACGAATTTATTTTATCAAGACATAAGAACATCCTCATAAATACACGTGAGGTGACTTGTATTGGTGGTGTGCCAAGTGCCCTACGAACTAGGTCGCACTAAAAGTCGTTTACATATCTAATTTAGTATCAAATATGATCAATTATAGTATCACATTAAGAACATGATTATCAAATGTGATTATACACGTAAGGGGTTCTAATTAATGGTGTACGGGTGACTTGGCCCACAAACCTAGGTTGATCCAAAGGTTGTATGCGTCTCTTATTTAACATTACATGTGATTGACTATGGTAAAAAGATGTTATGTCATTGTCCTCAAATAAAGATGTTCTTGTTTGAACTAGTAATCTCTTCTTAATTTGAACTAGCAACTAAGATCGCGCCAAAAATCATTTGCGTCTCTGATTTAGTATCACATGTGTATCATATGTGATGAAATAATAATATCGCATGTGATTGCCTATAGTAAAAAGGTGTTCTCGCATTCTCGTAAAATGAAGGTGTTCTCGTTTGAACTATTCTCTCTCTCTCTCTCTATATATATATATATATTATGTTTTAAAATTTTAGTAATAATGCATATTCATAGATGAAAAGAGTTTTGAATAAAATAGATGGTGGTTGGGTTAAAATTTTGATTTAATTTGGATAATGATGGTTTATGCGAGTGTCGGTAGTCTTGGGTCTTTGATTTTAATTAGTTCACCAACTATATATATATATATATATATATATATATATATATATATTCATTTTCAAATTTGTTTACCAACTATTTTAAACAATATAATAACACCACAACACACTTTGTTTTCCAACTTCATACCTATAACGTCACTTGTTTCATTAATTCCCAACACAAATTTGAACCTTCAATTTTTATTTCTTAAAATTCGCTTTATTTTCTATCAAGATTATATTTCGTTGTGTAATGTGATATTATTCGGTTCGTTTTATGAATTATACATGTAAAAGATGGAAAATTTGCATCAAGAATGAATATGCAAAAGGGAGATCATTAGTTCTAAATTTGAAAAGCAAGCATCACGATATGTTTTTTTAAAATGGGAATGCACGACAATTAACATGAAAAGCGAATGAAAGTTAACATAAAGAAGTAATTAATTTATGGTTGTCACCCGACAACATCCTAAAAATAAGGTGGTTGTATTTTGGATTTGGCATCCTAAGATTAAGACTTTGTCCTATTAATGTCTTCCCCCCCAAAAAAATAATACCAATAAAGGGGTGTTAGGATGCTTCAAATTAATCGGCTCCACAAATAGATCTAAGTACGAACATCATAAACTTTTATATTTAAAATACTAAAACAGTTTGACGTTTATATCTTTTTAATCACACGTGTTTGAACAAAAAAAGAAACAAATGCATTTAGTGGTGGGTGTCGATAATATGTTCTACGTATTGGTTAGAGTCTATGGAGAAAAAAAAAATAGTACATGTAAGTAGAGGGTGTATGAGCTCCCCTCAAAATATGATTTTTTTTGTTGTTGTGTAAAGTTCTGATTTTGTAAACCCAACTTTTTATTTAACAAGAGGGTGTTCAAATCTTTTATATGTATGTATAATATTTGAACTCTTCACGTAAGTCATGGGTGGTACAAAGTTGATCACATTCACATATTATTGATGATCAAATTCATATATTATTGATCTTCACGTAAATGTTGATCAAATTCCCATAATAGTAACTCGTATTGTTGATTTCATCCAACTAGATAATTTATGATACACGAAACGGTTGAAACTATGAAATTTATTAACTTGGTTTTAGGCCTTGACTAGATGTACATCTTTTCTTTAAATACAATCCCAAACAAAAACCATATGATATGTCAAAAATCGAACGTAGTTCAACAACAACAACAAAAACAAAGTTCATGTTCTCAAGCCAAAAGAAGTATGTTTCTTGATCTAATCTACAATCATAACCTTTGGAGAACAAATTTTCATTTATGTTATATGTTTTTTAGGTTTTAGTTATGTCGTCTATTCTTAACACATTTATTTGAATTTTACATCGATTAGATTTTGACCATTTCTCAATTAATATATGTATATATTAAAATCTATTTTTCCTTCTCGATGGTTTATTGAAAATTAATATAATATAATATAATTATGCATGTTCTCAATGTTAAAAAAAGTGGGGAATGTGAATTACTGAATAGTTTATTGATTAAAGAAAAGAAATGTAGATGCCTTCTTTTTACAATACTATTGCTTTTACATACATAATTCTATTATTTCTTGACTCTAATTTTCTGATAATAATATTTTTGCATGTATATATATGTATGTGTAATTGGATATTCATGTGAGAATAAAACTTAATTCCATAAGTATAAAGATGTGGATTCGTGATCGTTTTTAATCTCATTTTCATCCTATGAAATGAATTGTACTTCTCATAAGAATTGATTCGGTGCATCTTATTAGAGTTGTTCTTCAATTATGATTAATTCAATGATGAAAATCTTTTCTTATCTTTCTTACCATAACTTTCATTTTCATCGAAAATTCATACCCCGACCCTATAGTTGTATACCCTACATTTTTATTTTTGATAATTCTATCACAATTTTATTTTTATGATTTTTGAAAGGTTTTAGTTAGCAAGCGAGTTTTCGATTGATTATTAGTTTTATGAAGTGTTTTAAACGTGTTTATGTAGATCAAACATGGACTTTTAGGAAGCTGTATGGAGTAGTGTACATACATACATACATACATACATACATACATACATACATACATATATATATACATACATATATATATACATACATATATATATATATATACATATATATATATATATATATATATGTGGGTGTGTGTGTGTGTAAAATATAAACAACTTTTAGGAGTGAATTATTGATTTGGTCTTTATGGTGTTTAATTTGTTTTGCTCATGGTCCCTCTGACTAATGCCTCAGTTAACTCCGTTAAATCAAATGTTATTTTAGCATTTTTGCCTATACTTTTTGTTTTTTTATTATAAAAAGTAAAAAGAACATTTTGTTAGATTCAATATATATATACTTATAGACTTGGGATCATGTGAGACCAATAGTTTTTCGTGAGACCCGTAAGACCAATTATCAACTCTTGGATTAAATCTACAATCGTCAGATCTGAACATTCATAAACACCACGAGACTTCTCAATAATTACAAACTTGCCACCGTGCAACTTTAGACCATTAGATCATATGTTTATAAAGTTGATCAATGAACATAAATTGGTCTTACGGGTCTCACGTGAACCCAACCCTATACTTATATATATATATATATATATATATATATATATATATAAGTTCATTTATGGGAAACTGATTAGCTTGTGGTAACCGTGAGATTCTATGTGAACCACTCGTTTGAGATTTAAAAGGGTAATATAGTAAATTCTGTTTTTGACAACTGATCAAAATATTTAATTAAAATTAGTTACATGGTATATCAATTACCTAATATAATCGTATTTTAAAGACGTTTGTGAATCAACGTATATCATAGTGATAACCGTTCACAATGTATTTTATTTGTTTTATGAAATGTATCATAGTGTGCATTATTGTTATTTTCATTGTTTTACAAAAAAAGTATCACATTGTATATCTTGTAGGTATATCTGGGTATCACATTGAATATCGTGTATAGGTATCACAGTATGTACCTTGTGTTCACATAAGGTTAATGAAATAAGGTTTGTCGAATAAGATTCGTTGGAGAGAGAAAAATATCTGCCGGAAAGAGAAAAAAGGAGAGATGAGATAAAATATTTATAAAATCCCTAAAATGCTCTTAATTAATATTATAAGTTAACATTACCAAAATTATTAATTTTTTTTAATTTAACCTTTGATTATAGTTGAGATTGAATCTTACGGTAAAACAGTTCTCATTTGATTAGACTCCTATATATACATACACGCGATTAATTATATATAATGATATCAAATAAAAAAATAAAAAAAATATTTTATGATCTAATTTATTTAAATTAAAAAAACTAATGATATTAAATACGATTTGGTTTTGGCTGTTTGGACATGAAAACTTGGTTGCAATTTATATAAGAATATATTCAATTTTAAGCTACAAAGAGAATAATATGAATGAATCTTTCATTTGATTGAAATCTAAATAATGGATTTTGATTCTTTGAATGGAAAATATATGAGGCCTTAATTATTATTTTTACGATGATAAAGTTGGAGTTTATTTCTTAATGATTTTCAATAATTTGGTGTTAAAGTATCGATAATAAACTTGTTTATTGTAATGATAGAAAAAGAAATCATCAATTTTTTAACTTAAACAAATCAAATCATAAAATTTTATCTTATTTTATTTGTTCTAAGTAAATAAGATATGGTTTTTATAATTTAATTTGTTTAAATTAAAGTTATACATGTATGTACATATTTGTGTATATAGGATAAGACACAAAAAATATATTATAGTGACCTCAATAAAAGAAAAATCAAAATAGAGGGACTAAATTTATAATTGACTCATTTTTTATTTAATAAATAAAAGTAAAAGTAGAATGAAAAGACAAAAAAGAAAGCACAGAAATAATTAACGATGGATTAACTTTAAACAAGACATGTTTTTGACAAATGCGATAATTGTCTGTACGAATCACTTCATCTCTTCTAAATTTAATGATTTGGTCGGCTGCCTCATCAACAATTTAAGTTTAATAATTTCTCACTTTCCCTTTTTTTTTTCTTAATTTCATTTTTCATTTTCTAATTCATCCAAACCAACATCAACCTTGTTTACGTCTATACCTTGCAAAGTTTATGGTAAAAAAACACCTTATCATCAACCTTGTTTTTTTTCAATTAAATGATAGTTTTAAATGGAAACATCCGTTTAGATTTAACGTGGGTTGTTAATTTCAAAAAAAAAAAAAAATATTTGTTTATGAAAATAATTTGTAAGAGAATTTTTGGCGAAAAATTACTTTTGACAGGATGTCCGTGACCTATAGACTATGGTGGTCCATTTGGGGATGTAAACAATGTGAAGGACGCAACCTCATCTCTTGTTATGCTCCCAATTCTCGCCCCTACCTTTTAATCCTTGACAATAATGATATAGTTCAAAATAAAAAGAAAAATAATGTTTTTTTAACTTTACTGATTTAATTTTCCGTATCTAGATCTAGCGGTCCTCTACCCATATGTTAGAAGAATGATTCTTTTCGGCCAATGATATCGAAAATGTTTGTTTATGAACAAAACAACTGTTATTGCTTTTCCACTATAAATACCAAAGGGTTTTCTACCTTTTAGTAAGTACCATTTGAGAAGAAACTTGAGAGGTTTTTTTTTTTTTTTTTATCATATCTTTCGATAAATATTGTTGGGAGTTAACGGTTATGTTGGATCACTTGAACATAAGGTATGTATTTATTAATAGTTATCACTTATCCATTTGAAGTTATGAACTTTTCTATAGCAATGATTGCGTAAAACAATCCGCATTTTTCTGTAGCGAATCAAAGTGTTAAGATTACAAGAAGAAAATACATTTGATAAATTAATGAAACGATTTTAAATGATAGTTTGTCTAAGCTGTTTCTATTTTTATAGGCAAGTTAGTTTTGATGTATAAAAATTAGAGTTTTCGTGAACAAACATGTTGGAAAGATACAAGAGATAAGGACCAAAAATAGATTATTTTGGAGGAGTGGACATTTCAAGAAAATAATTTATTTATTTATTTAGAAATAAGAAGAGGTTATTTTAAAATGAGAATTACTTGATTAAGTGAAATAATGGAGGAAAGAATTAGTCTCAATGGCACAACGCATGTGGAATCGATTAATTAATTGGAATTCAAATTTATAAATAAAGAAATTATATTTGGGTTGGTATCAATTTTAAATGGTGAGTGCTTTTAACCCCTATTTAATGGTATTAAATCAGGACAAAATATGCATTAAATTGAAATATAATATTCTTCACTTGAGTATGGGTAAGACATTTAATAGGTAGAAAGTATTGTGTTAATATGCAGCAAATAAATTGAAAATATACATGAAATCTTTTGTAAAATTAAGAGATATATATATTGTGAATGAAAATGGCAAGAAATCTTGAGAAAAATGAATACAAGAATGTTGTGATTGAAAAAAAAGAAAAAAGAAAGAGGAATTAGGATGTTGAAAAGAAAATCGAAAGGTTGAAACTTTGATTGCGGCATTAAATGGAAACCGAAAAAGGCACAGAATTAATGCAACAGACGATGGAAATGGAGTGGTATTTTTACAGAGAGAAAAAAGGAGGAGGCGACGAAATTGTAGGGTATACAACCCACACCAGGAGCAGGCCATGGACACCCATAGCCATCATATTCATTTAGACATAGAGAAGACATTTACATTAACATTTACAGACACACCCCCTACGCTAGCTTCTACTTCCTCTCTCGTTTCTCGGTCCATTCCTTCACGAATATCAAGGTCCTTCTCATTTATTCTTTCTTCTTCCTTTCTTTTTTTTCTCTCTGTTACCCCAATTTCCCTCTTTCCCCCCTTTGGATTTAACTCCCTTCCCCTTTTTCCTTGCTTTCTTTTGTTTTCCTTAGCTTCAAACAGCAAGAGAAACAAAGGAAGGTATTTGGGTATCTGATTGATTGCAACAATTCTCTCTCTCTCTCTCTCTCTCTATGAATCCATCATTCTCTCCGATTTCTTTCATTCATCTTCATCTCACCATCAACAATTCTTTCTCCATCTAACGCATCTTCTTGATTGCATCAAAGCGCAAGTTTTCAATTTTTGATTCAGATATCGATGTTTACGTGGTATGAGGTATTCCCTGTCGTCATCATCATCTCCAAATGGGTTTTTAATACATGCTTCTTCGTGTTGGGTTTCGGTCATATTTGTACCCTGAATCCGGGTTCGATTATCAATGCAATATATGGATTTCTATACACTTGTTTTTGGTTTATCCACAACAGGTTCAATGGGCGTTGGATCTGGGGATCCATGACGGTTTTTTCGTTTTTTTAAATCTTGTCACTAATTTTTTTATTTTTAATCAATTGTTAGAATCAATATAATTGCCCTTATCGATCTGGGTTATCGTGATATCCCTTTTTTAAGCCTTTGATCTTATCTTTTTAATTATATGTTTAGGTATGTTACTTGGAGATGGAACAAGGCACATTGCCTAGGGCTTAAAAAGTTGGTTCCTTGAGGTGAGGTTTCATGGGTTGAACACAAGGAACCATGGTTAGCTTAAGCCAAGACGAAGAATATCGATTTTTTGATGCCCAAGATAGCATTGCATCAACGGCTACTGATTCAGTTTCTAAGTTTCATCAGACTCCTGTTTGTAAGCATGGTTTTAATGGTTTCCAATATGATTTTTGGGTTAAGACTCCAGCAAGTGTTCAAGATCGAAAAAATCAGTTTCTTAAATTTATGAGTTTAAGCTCAGATGATGAAATTACAGCAGATGATTCAGGCGATGATGATGATGTTTTGAAAGCAAGATTTAGTAATAGAATCATGGAGAATAGTGATGCTGTTTTGAGAAGCCCCATGTATGAAGAAATGTCTTCTAGTACATCCTCTGTTTCAAGTTTGTGTCAGGATGCTTCAGATTCGTCCAGAATGATGGTTTCCAAAGAGAATTTCATTTGCAGAGCTAATAATAATTCAAATGGCAGTACAGGATGCAGAGAAGAAGAAGAAGAAGCGGGAGGCAATTCATTGATCCGTATAGATAATGTTTCATCTCCATTGGTTCAGAAACTTGTAGAGAGACAAATCAAGGTTGCTGGCACGATGGCTAGGACGATGAACAGAGTAAAAAGTCAATGGTTGAGTAGATTACGGTCCATGACATGTGTTGTAGATAGGCAGGGGAGATGTGATGGTTTGAGCCCTGATGGTGCTGGTCAGGTTCACAGGACTAGGGTTCAAAGGGTCAGAGTTCGCCAAAGTAAGAAGAGGTTGAAGGAACTCTCGGCTGTGTTTACTGGTCAAGATATCCAGGCGCATCAAGGTTCAATCTTGACTATGAAATTTGGTCGTGATGGGCGTTATCTTGCTTCTGCCGGAGAGGATGGAGTTGTGCGAGTTTGGCAAGTTGTGGAAGATGATAGATCAAATGATATTGACATTCCTGATATTGACCCCTCTTGCATATATTTCACCGTGAATCAACTTTCCGAATTAGCTCCTATAATGGCTGAAAAACAGAAAATGAGTATGCTCAAGAGCCTAAGAAAAACTTCGGATTCAGCTTGTGTCATTGTTCCCCCAAAGGTGTTTCGGATATTGGAGAAGCCTGTACATGAGTTCCATGGACACAATGGCGAAATCTTGGATCTCTCATGGTCCAATGATAACGTGAGTATATCAGAAAATGATTTTATAAGGATTCTTTATCAAATTTTAATTCAAGTTACTCAGGTTTTCTTCTTATTTTGTTATCATTGCAGCGTCTTCTATCATCATCAGTCGATGAAACAGTGCGTCTGTGGAGAGTTGGGAGCGATCGATGCCTTAAAGTCTTTCCACACAGTAATTATGGTACGTGTATTTGCCTGGAATTGTGAGTCTTACTAATGAAAGCATAAAATCTTGATTAGTGGTAATACTGATGAAAGCATATGGTGTGTAATTGACAAAACTGCAGTGACATGTGTTCAGTTCAACCCTGTGGATGAAAGTTATTTCATAAGCGGGTCAATTGATGGAAAGGTTCGGATATGGTCCATTGGTTCTTCCCAGGTTGTGGATTGGACAGACATACGAGATATAATCACTGCTGTCACTTACAATCCTGATGGCAAGGTTTGGCAAAACATTTGTGTCAATTAATTCCAATCCAAGAAATGAAATCTCAAATATAATGATGGCTGAAAAAGTCTTCTTTCCCTTTTATTTTAGGGTGGAATTATTGGATCCATGACGGGCTGTTGTCGGTTTTTCTGTTTGTCAGGTAACATCATTTTGACCGTATGCCATACTATCTTCATCTGTGAAAATTTTAGCGCGCCCTGTTTGGAACAAATCTCATGGTTCGGTCTAAAATACTGATGAATATTGACAATATAATCAGCAGAATATTTGAAATTCTCCAAAGAAAAGGAAATATTGTCAAATGGAAGTTATTACAATTCTTATGGATGGAATAATATGTGTTGTTTCTAATTCTTCAATGGCTTAGTTTTACCAGTATATCATTGTTTTAGAAATATATGGCTTGGCTTTCGATCAATCATGATCATTTACAGTTTGGGGTTTAGTAGGCTGTAAGGTTCTTTTCACTCTGTGCTATGCATCTTGATGTCGTTTTATTCATTGCATCTATCAATAGTTTCAAAATTATGGCTACACAGTTGAATCTTGTGGGGGCCTGAAAAGATCTGTTCTTTTCTTGGAACAGATAATCATTTCCAACTGGAAGCCTCGGTCTGCTTAAATAGTAAAAAGAAGTCGCCTTGCAAGAGGATTATTGGCTTTCAGGTTGGTACTTGGTATGTAAACATGATTATTTTTAGTCTTTTCCCCTCACATTTCATGCTCTAATTCTGGCTTCACTTTCTTTATCTTATCTGTAGTTCTGTCCACAAGATCCAAGCAAAGTGATGGTGACTTGTGCTGATTCCCACATCAGAATTCTTCATGGGATCAATGTCATTGGGAAATACAAGGGTATTTATATAATCATCTGCTGTTTCTCTGTTATCAAATCATTGGTGTTTTTGATTGCTTATGTACTATATAACCAATTGCTGTTTATGCTTTTGTATTTGTTCATATAACTAGGCCAAAGAAATGCTGGAAACCAGTTCTGTGCATCGTTCACCTCAGATGGGAAACACATTGTTTCAGCATGTGAGGATTCTAATGTTTATATTTGGAACTGCCGCAACCAGAAGGAACCTTCGGTTTATCAACAAAAGACAGTTAGGTCATTCGAGTGCTTCTCGAGTGACGCCTCAGTTGTGTTACCTTGGTCTGGCCTGAAAGTTAGTACAAGCTCAGGAAATGGTTGGAACTTAGAAGAGGGTTTGCCCAACTCATTGCCCTTTTCTTCACCTAGTTATTTCTCTCTAGGTCAGGAGTTCTTTTTAGAATCGATTCCAAAAGGATCTGCAACTTGGCCTGAAGAGAAGCTTCCCACTTCCAGTCCACCTCCTCCAGGTGTTTCATCTCCATTGTGTAAATCCGAATACAAATTCTTCAAATCTTCGTGCCAGAGCTCGGCCAGTAGTCATGCATGGGGTCTGGTTATTGTTACAGCAGGGTGGGATGGGCATATCAGATCATTCTTGAACTATGGGTTACCAGTAACCCTTTAATTTGAGATATATGTATATGAACAGAAGAGAAGAGGAGACACACCATTAAATTGGATGGATGGATGGATGGATGATGAAGAAGAGCTAGAGGTGAGGCTGCCGTATCTTGATTGGGGGGGTTGGGTTGGGTTGGGGCAAGAAAGAAAAATGGTAATGTGGTGGGGTCAAATGAAGATGGTGCATATCTGGGTGGGGCTGGGATGAAGCTCTTCCATTTGTTGTTGAAAAATGGGATGGGTGAGAGTGTTAATGAGTTGATTTGGGGGTAAGGTTAGTATCCATTTATGGTGTTTTGGGGAGTTATGATTGATCGAGTTTTGTCTGCCATTTTTTTGTACAACCTGGAAGTGGGGTCAAAACTTAATTGGGCAGCTAGCTTTTTTCTTTTTTCTTTTTAATTTTAATTTTAATTTTATATTTTTGATGCCAAAAGCAACCTCTTCTTGGGATATCCCTTGTTTTTTTTTTATCACACACACTGACCAAAGTCATATATTGTCTTAATTCAGTTGCTAACCAAGTTGGAAGGTGATGTTTTGGCTGACCCGCATCTACATCTAATATTTATACAAATTTGCCTTGTGCTTATTATTATCAATGTATATAAAGTTACCTCTTTGTTTTGGCTTCTTTGCTTTTTAATGTGAATAAACTTTTTTTAATGTTTACATCAAAAAATTCAAGATTTAGAATCAATATATCACCTTTTTAATGCTTACACTTGTATCAGTCGCCAATGTTGCTTCACCAAATCAGAAGATGGTGTGGTGAGTGACAATCGTCTCAACATTTGTCACTTGGGTTTCCATTTCCTCTGGATCCCTTTGAAACTCCGATTTCAAATTTCCCTCCTATCTTTCCTTTTCATAAATAAAACTCTTATCAGTTTCTTATGTCTCATTTGTTAAAATGTAAGACCATTTAGACTGTTCGTTTTTTCTAATTTTTTAGAAACACTTATGTATTATTGTTCTCATATCTGGTAAGAGGTAAATCGACCTCTTATTTGCCTCTTCAAACCTTCAACGACGATGTTTCTCAATCGATTAACCTTAATCAATCATTTCTCTCAATCGATCCTTACCAAATCAATCCTCACATCTCACAATTGATATATTTTGATAGGATTTAAATGTGATAAATACCATTCATGACATATTTTCATTTGAATGAATGCTAATCATATGATTTAGATGTAAATTTCGTAATGATGACGAATAAATTTATGAAATTTTGTATAATTTTATTTATAAATTCAACACAATAATTTTTTAATGGGTAAAATAGACGATTTAAACAAATTCAGACGTTTACAAAAAATAAACAGTCTTATTAATTCAAATTTCATACTTCAACACCACCTCTTATAAAACGGAAATAAAATAAGATTTTAGATTTCAACACTTTTTTAAAAAACAAAGACCACCTAAGTCGGTTTATCTAGAGAAATAATAACACCCTAAATTTTTTTAATTTTATATTTATGTGGTTGAAGTATTTTCTTATGATAACAGTTCCTAATTCTTCTTAGGCCTTGGGCTTAGCCCATATATTTTAATCAACCATCAAGAAGCCCATTACATCATCTGCAATTGCATTTCCCTTTGTCCAAAATCCAAATCATAGATATTATCCAACTTTAGTGTCTGCGTTTAATGATTAATTAATCCACTAATTTATTTTAATTAGGATAACACATTCTCTCTCTCTCTCTCTCTCTCTCTCTTGATGCATTAAGTCATGATCCTGTTAAGAGTATTTTTAAAAATGGACTTCTTGGAAGAAACAATAATTGATCCATTTGTTATTTGAAACTTTCTTTAAAATGAAAAAAAAAAAAAAAACCATGATATAGAGTATGAAAGTTCTTCAAATTTAGAGAATCCCAAAAAATTATCATGTGAAAGATTTTTTTATTATATATTCTCATCGTTAAAGTATTTAATGTTAAAAATTTACGAGGAAAAAAAACATTATTAACATGACACATGAATGTGATTAATCGTTTAATATATAACCTTAGAACATCTCTGACCGATCACATGGTAACTAAAAAAAAACTATAGCAACCAAAATTGAATCGTACGGTAAAACAACAAAAAATTTGCCCCTCGATGGAAGCGATTCAAAATTAAACTATCATGGAACTTTTCAAACCCTGCAAACACTAATGATATGTGATTATTAGTGTCCTTTTTTTATTTTAATGATATTTAATTGAATAGATTATGCTTTTTATTATAATAATCTATTTATAAATATTGTATCTAAATTTTTCCTAATAATAATAAAATATATTATTTTAATATGAGATTTATTAACTCGGTGTCAAAATATTGTAATTCAGTGTCACTACCTCCATTAGTAGCAACTTCTCAACTTGTAGAGAGGTCAAAATGTAAAAAATAAAATAAAATCTAAACATGGTTCGCAAGGATAAAGACCAAACATGTAGTTCCCAAATAGCCACAAAAGTATTTGGACACTTACAAATTTGGTTCCCGTACATGTGGACCATGCTTGTATTTGTGTTTTTTATATATATATTTTGACCATTTGTTATTTGAGGAGTTGCTACTTATAAATATAATGATATTTTTGAAATTTTGGAAGAAAAATGATTAATAAGTAAATGTATAAAGTTAAAAAGGTTATTTTAAGCAATTTTCCTTTTTAATATATAATAGTTTGACTTAATTTATACAAATAGTTTAATATATGACCTTAACCAAAAAAAAATAGTTACCGATTTTAAAAATAAAAAAAATCTCAAAGCTTAATGTAATTTATATGTGATTATATAGGTTAAGATGTACGTTCAAATGAGAATACTTCTATTATAGTACTCTTTATTTTATAAAAAACACAAGAACATCTTTATCACATGTGATAATAATGTAAGAGGACCTGGTAATATGCGAACAACATATTTTACGATCTAGGCCACGTCAAAGTTCGTCTACATCTTTGATTTAATATTACATGCAATAGATTATAGTATCACATCATAGACACCCTTATTATATGTGATAATACACGTAAATGGACATAGTAGTTTACAGACGACTTGGCTCGCAACATATGTCATACCAAAAATCGTCCGCAACTTTGATTTAATATCACATATGTATTTTTTTAAACAAAACAAAATAAAAATTGTTACTTTTTTTACAAACAAGATAGTTATCTAGAAAATAATATATTATATTTATTTAAGCAATATTTTATTGTAGAATATTTGATTTGCATGCATTTATAAGAAAATGTTAAAAGAAAATTTAAATGTTTTTTAATCGTAGTAATAAAAAGTGAAAATCATTAAAAATAAATTGAAATAGTTTTTTTTAGCAATGTCATCAAAATTATGTGTCATCCACATCACCTTATTTAAGACAAGGAAAAAAAAAGAGGTTAACCGGTTTAAATGATAACACGTTTCCCTTGCTATAATTTGGGTAGATTTTTCAAAGTACGATACTCTAATAAAATTAATTTAAAAATACATGATTGTAATAAGGAAAAATAAAAATATAATATTATAAAAGAAAATTTTATAAATAGCTTACTATTTCATGTATTTAAACTATTTTTAAATTTCTCTAAAATATGGAATCAAACACCAAAATTTCCAAAAAAGAAATTACAATAAGTGTAACATTACGAGATTAATTATATTTATTAAAATATTGAATAGTTTAATTGTGCTGATAAAATTTTAAATTAATATTATATAATATGATAATATAATTAACTTCCTCAATTAAAAAAAAAAGATTTCTCTCACTTAACAATCATTTTTAGAGAATTATTTGAGTTTGAAGATTTTTAAAGTTTCCATTTCTATTTTGACAAAAATTCTAAAGATCTGATAGAGTAAAAAAAAAAAAAAAGTTAAAATGTCTGAAGTCTTAGTTTTATATATATATATATATATATATATATACATATTTATTTATTTATTTATGAAGCAATAGGACTTTAAAATTTCAATTGTATATATGCTTACTATTGGTTTTCAATTAATTATTCATTGAGGTTCATGTTAAAAGGTGGGCCCCAAGTGCATTTTTAGATCTTAAATTTTTAGGTTAAAAAATTTGTAAGATTATTTTATAACAGGTGTGGTGAGTTTTTAAATTTGTGAAAAAGAAGTCAGCATATTTATATAGAGGAGCGATCTAAATCATGTAAATCAATCTTATCCATATATTTTCTTGATCAATGATCAAGATTAGTTTAGGTTATATTAGAAAATTAAAATAAATAAATAAATAAAAATTTATTTTATAATCTCTATTTGGTATTGATAATATTAATGACAACCATATCATTTATATCGTAATATTAATAAAACAAAATCATTTGTAAAATAATATATTAATTTTATGTTCAAATATTATAGACAAAATTACATCTATCATTAAAATAGATCAACAATAAAAATAAAACACAATATAATCAATCTAACGTAATGAAACATTTTGAATAAAAAAAAATTACTACTACATTTCATGAACGAAATGGTTTCACATTTTCATCAAATGAAATGGTTTCATTGTTCACTAATTACATAAAATTTTCTTAGAAACCATGAAATGATTTCACTTTCTTCAATCACCCATTACATCGGCCAACATGGTTTGATGAGTCATTTGTCATTTCACGTTATTGATAATGAAATGGTTTCATTGTTCACTAATTACACAAATTTTTCTTAGAAACCATGAAATGTTTTCACTTTCTTCAATCACTCATTCATGCTATTGATAATGAAATTGCTTCACTTTTCACTAATTACATAAAATTTTCTTAGAAACCATTAGGGATGCACGCGGGTTGGATTGAACGGTTTACAACATTTTTACAACTCAACCCAATTATGGGGGTTTGGACAAATCTCAACCCAACCCATTCAAAAGTATAACCCAACCCAACCCAACCCTTGCAGGTTGAGGCGGGTTGGGTTGGGTTGGCGGGTTGGTAGTTACATGAATTTGACGAATGAAATAATTCATAAAACTTAAGTTTATAGACCATACTATAAAGCGTCATATCTAAAATGGTTACAATAGGTTTACATGACGTTTTTGGACGCTTCAACAAGTGTTTTAGAATGATCTTTAAATAAAATGTCGTATTAGTTATTTTATATAAATATTTTGAGAAGTGTCCCTAAAACTCATCTATTTACAGGACACCTATGTTCATATACACTTTTCAAGTCGTGTCGTATAAAATAACTAATATGATACTTTATTTTAAAAGCGTCATAGAATTTGTTAGGACACCCAAAATCATCCTATAAACATATTGTAACTCTTTTAGATAAGACATTTTTCTTGCTTCGTCCTATAAAGAATCATATTAGGACGCTTAAACATTTTAGGCGTCCTATAAGATTTAATGTTGTTGTAGCGAAATGTTATAACTAAACATTTTATTTCCACTAAAGTACAACATCAAATGACGGGGTATTTAGATTGATGAATTCGTCAACAAAATATCTATTAGTATCATTCATATTCTTCAACATATCAATTTGTTGTTGCTGCAAAAAAGATTTTAATAATTTTCTCTTATTAATTAGATTATTTGT